GGCTGTCGACTGACGCTCACCACCTGCTGTGCGGCCCTTTCCTGACAGGACACGGTTGGGGAACCCTGCTGCAGAGGGCTGCCACCCCCCGCGTCTTCCCGCGGCTGCCCCCTGTGTGTGTCCCAGCCCCTCTTACAAGGACCTGCCGTGCCGGGCAGGGCCCACCCTGATGGCCTCATTTTAACTTAGCTTGAAAGACCTCCAGCCGGGCTCAGGGGCTCTGCCTGTCATCCCAGCACTTTGGGCGGCCCAGGCGAGGGGTTGCCTGAGCCTGCGGGTTTGAGACCCACCTGGGCAAGTTGGCGAGACCTCATCTCTACAATAAATAAATAATCAGCTGGGCGTAGTAGTGCACTCCTGTAGTTCTGGCTACTTGGAAGGCCTAGGCGGGAGAATTGCTGGAGCCCAGCAGGTCGGGGCTGTGGTGGCCGTGAGTGTGCTGCTGAACTCCAGTCTGGGTGACTGCGTGAGACTCCAACTCAAAAAAATAACACCAGAATAAAACCTGTGGGAATCGGATAAACCTGAGTATCCATTAGAATTTTCGATGTCTCCAGATGCCACTGGTGTTTTCAGGTAGGGCGGAGGAGACCTCTCTGTGGTGCTGTGAGGTCAAATGAAAACTCACAAAGCTGACAGTGTGATGGCCACCTCCTCCAGGAAGCCTGCCCTGCCCATCTTTCTCACTCTCTGCCCCACCTCTGGGCTCCCTGAGTGCCACATGCATCCGTGGGCAGCACAAGCTCACGGGGTCTGGAGCGGCTAGGGTCCACACGCAAGACTGGTCACAAGGACAGGCTGCAAATCGTCCGGAAGATAGGCGCTGCTGGGCAGAGGAGTCAAGTCTTTTCGATGGCCTCGGAAAGCGAGTCATTTCAGCAAACTGCCCAAGCCCCACCGTGCTCAGTCGAGCCTGGGTGATCGCCTTCTGCGACTGCTGGCATGTCATTCAGCCGGGCCCCGCGTCTCCGTCTGCGAAGTGGGGACCCCGAACCTGCCTCACAGCGTTAGTGGCTCCCTCAGGAGGGGCAGGCCACCAGCCGTGGCTCGGCAAACGGGGCTCCTCACCGCTCCTTCCGGGTCGCTTCATTTTTGTTCAGGGTGGGTGGGAATGGCAGAAACACACGACTTGTTTTAGGGCAGGGACTTGGGGACTCAGCAGTTCCGGGGTGGGAGCTTCGGTGGGGACCGACTCATCTCGCTATGCCCCATGGCCACTGTTGTAGACAAAGGAACGCAAGGAACTTCAACCTGTAAGCCAAATGGTCGTCTCATCTCCTGCGTTAACAGTCTGTCCCGGCAGCCGCCGATGGGGTCCTGTGCTTGGTCACACTGTGTCACCTCCCCCTCCCAAAGTGCTGGGATTATAGACTTGAGCCACCGTGCCCAGCCTTTTTGTTTGTTTGTTGAGTCGGGAGTCTCATTCTGTCACCCAGGCTGGAGGGCGGTGGCATGCTGGGCTCAGGCAATCCTTCCACCTCAGCCTTCTAAGTGCTGGAACTATAGGCATGCACCACCACACCCAGCTAATGCTTTTGATTTATTGTAGAGACGAGGTCTCACCAAGTTGCCCGGGCTGGTCTCGAACCCGCAGGCGCAGGCAATCCACTCGCCTCTGCCTCCCAAAGTGCTGGGATTTCAGGCGTGAGCCACCACACCTGGCTTATTCCAGTTCTTAATCAATGGCGTGAGAAACTGGTTTGCGACTCAGGAAATGGAAGGCCCAGAGCTATTATGATTTCAGAGACAGGGTCTTGCATCATCCAGGCTGGAGGGCAGTGACACGATCATAGCTCACTGCAGCCTTACGCTCCTGGCCTCAAGCGATCCTCCCACCTTGGCCTCCCAAAGCGTGGGGATTACGGGCATGAGCCCTGAGCTATTATGATCATCTGAGAAAATCAGGGACCGTGTTGAGTGCATCACAGGACATGGGGTCCTATGGGTGATGAACCAACCCTGAGGCCCTGGGAGTTGTCTGGCCGACAGGGCTGCCTGGTACCTCAGCTGGTACCTCTCAGATTGATACAAGCCCATATCCAGCTGACTTAATAAGGGATACTGATAGACTCCTGGAGCAAAAGGGCAATAGCTTCAGGTGAGGCCTGATCCAGCTGCTTGACCTCTCTGCTCTCCACTCTCCTGCAGGGCTGACCTTGCGCTCTGGTCCCACTCCAGTCCTGCGAGCAGCCCAGCCTCCCTTCTCAGGGCCACCAAGGAGCAGTGCTGTCCCTGGAGTCTCATTCGTCTTCCACTGCCAGGAGTCCCAGGAAGAGGGGAAAGCACTCTGTTTCCCAGCAGCCCCAGAAAATGTCTCCCCAAGCCTCACCAGCTCTTAGATTTCGCAGCCATCTGTACACTTGCCACTCTTTCCAAGGGCATGGATTGGCCATTGGGTTTGAGCCTGTGAGAGCCTGACTCGGCGCTGGGGACGGGGCCGGTCCCACCCAAGCCACTGAGCGGGGAATGCTGGTTCCCCCAGAGCAAGGTCTGGGTGCTGTCAACCCCGGGAAGGAGGTCAGTGCTGGCCAGAAAGCCGAGAACTCTCCACGATGGGCCAAAGGAGGGAAGGAAGGGTGACCTTGACGCCACCATCCAGGGGGCCGCCATCAGCGTTGGGGCCCGTCTGCCTGGGTGATGCGTGAGATGATGACAGGGATTATCCCGACGAGAGGAGGCAACAATGACATTTACTGAGCAGTAACTGTGCGCCAGGCCCCGTGCCGAGGGCGTCACACACACTGATCCTTGACACCCCCAAAGAATCCGCCCCTTGGACAGAGATTCACGGGGCCCCAGTTCTGTGCCGGGCGGTGTCCCAGATCCCAAAGACGAATCAGGGAACGAGCTGGTGGCGACCGCCCATCGTGAGCTGGCACTCTTGCAGGTCACAACCATTTTACAGATGTGGGCGTCGGGGCTCAGGGGAAAAGCCTCCCAGCCTGAAAGCCGCAGGGCTGAGATCCAGCCTCAGGGCCTTCTACAGCCCAAGCACGCGCTTAATGCATGTCCACACGCGCGTGCCGGTTTTCTTTTAAAGGCATCATTTCATTTTATTGAATGTATTTAATTTTAGCCCATATAGAGACGAGGGCCTCGCTACATGGCCCAGCCGGGTCTCGACCTCCTGGGCTCCAGCAAGCCTCTCGCCTCGGCCTCCCAAAGTGCTGGGTTTTACAGGCGTGAGCCACCGTGCCCGGCTGAGTTTTCTTTTTAAACGATCGATCCAGGCCACCAAGCCGCTGGCCAAGACAGCCCCGCCTGCAGGGGCCACGGACACAGGCAGACCCGCCAAGGCTGGGCCCCCGTGGTGTGTGCACTGGCTTCCGGGTGCAGACGGTCCAGGGAGGGCTTCGTGCACCTTCTTCCAGCCCGCGTCGGAAGCCCTCGTGCCCTTCTCTGTGGGACCAGGTGGTAAGAATGCAGGCTCCGGCGGCCAGTCCTGGCTCTGGCCCTGGCTCAGTTACGTCCCCTCCCTGGGCTGCAGTTTACTCATCTACAATAGGGGTCGGCAAACCAGCACCCTCAGCCTGAATGAAGCCCGCTGCGTCCTTTTGTAAACAGAGCTTTATTGCACCCACTCCTTGGCAGGCAGGAATAGACCCTGTGGCCCACCCGGCCTGAGGCTCCCCGCCTGGCCCTCTGCGCAGAAGCCGGCCTGCCCAGCAGGCGGGGAGGCTCCGAGCATCTGTGGCTCACCGTGTCCCCCCTGCCTGTCACACATCCTTGGGGTTTCAAGATGTGGAGGGGGGCCAGGTCCCAGGGACCCCGGGCAGAGCCAAAAGGAGACAGGACGGCCCCAGAGGGCTGGGCAGGCGGTGGGGGGCGAACGGGGCCGCCCGGCCAGGAGGTCGGGCGACCCTGGGAGTGGTGCCGCCACGTCCCACACGAGGCCCGTACTCGGGCACACAGTACGTGCTCAGTAAACGCCAGCTGCCGCCCTCGCCCCCGGGGACAGAACAAAGGCCGGGAAGCCGCCGACGTGCCTGGGGGCCGGGGGTCCGGAGTCGGGCTGATCCCTGGGGTAGACCCCACGGCGCTCAAAGCGGCTGCCAGTTGAAAGTCCGTCCCCGCCGCCGCGAGGTGGAAATTAAAAGGATTAATGGATGCCGCGGCCTTTGAGAGGCCCGGGCCCACCGAAGCTCCTTCAGCAGAGGGCCCGCAGTCTCGCCTCGGCGGCCCTCCCCGTGTGCCCCCGTGAGTGGCGGTGACAATGC